ATCTGAAAAATGGAATTCAAGTTAAAATTATCAGGTAATTCTAGCTGGGTAAGTAAAACTTCAGCAGGGGCGTAAAACAGGTGCATTCGGTTTTTCTTCTGAAAAATCAAACATTTATGGCTTCTTCGGAATTGCCCGCAAATGTTTCCAATCGGTCTTGAAACGTTTTACCCAAAAACTTCACTTAGAGGCACTAAGACGTAAGAAAGGTGTGGGAACCGGTTTAGGCCGTTAAGTGGACAAGTGCTTAAGCAGTGCTTATTGTTCATGAAGGAACCCAATCAGGTACTGGTAGGTTCATACTGCATATTACGAACTGACTTTCAAACTGTTGTTCAAATACTAATTGAACAGGAAAAAGTAGGAAAGGACGCTCTCGGAGCCTTGAACTCAGCAATTTTCTCATGAATGGATCCCTTGTCAATGGGTGGCATTTGACCGAAACAGATGGGGATTCTCATTCCGACCATAGTTGGAAGTCTCGCCCACTGATATCGGTTTTTGACTAGTGGCGCATTCGCTTTTTTTATGAGTAAATAAAAATAGTTTGAAAAATTCGTTGTAAACAAAGAAGACGTACAGCAACTCCTCCACTGAGCATAAGCAAATCGCTCAATCGTTCTTCGGGATTATCTTCACCACAGGCGATATAGAACGCATGTAATCCCATCAGGACCTTATCTCGTATATCTGACAAAAGTCGCAATTCATCAGGATTCGCTAATGGAACACCTTCTGATTCACGGATAATTGTCGGCTCTGAAATGGTCGCTAATTGATCAAAATGTTCCCTGGCATTTTCAATTATGGTTATCGATTTTACGCGCGTGCGCAGAAACGGCAACCTACTCATTAACATGAGCACTTTCAACGCGGCTATTTCTTCAGGTGTTGGTCGAAGTTTCCGTAACGGTTGTGCGATTTCATCGATCAGTAAGGAGGTCAGTGGGTAAAGTAACCTAAACCATCGGAAAGTAAGGGGACAATCGATTCATCCGACTGAAATTCACTTACTCTTGTGCTTTGGTGGTTTTTGGTGTGAGGTGCAATTTGATTTCTTCAGGTATTGCTTCTACATGTCGTACAAGACATGTGCGATCCGACAGAAACCAGACATTATCGTGAGCTGGCATCTGTGCAGTGAATAGTCCGTGTTCTATGGTAACAAACATCAGACAGAATCGATGTAGAAGGTGACGCTGGAAAAGGGTTATTATGAATGCTTCAACATAGGTTATCGATTTCGCGCGCAGGTAGTGAAAGTAGGTGCGGTAGTGGGAAGCGGAGCCTTACCACACGCATGATCCGGGGATAGAATCGCAAAATAATACCCGCACAAGGAAACAGAGCTTTCTATCCTCCCGGAACAGGTTTATCGATAGTAGGTTTGTCTAAATGGATACCAAAATCGATAAACCAGAATCGATAAACGCCGAGAGACTTTACCCAATAGACTTCGCTCGTTCAAAATATTCTTCTTCCTTCCATACATGAGCGATGCTAAATACCAAGTCTGGGTAGGTTCCCATGTTCGGCTTACTCAAGCTGATTCGGTGTTTCATTTTAAGCAGTAAAGGGGTACCTCTCAGCCACTTGGCAGTTCCCTCAAACGCTCGATTACAACCTTTTGCCGTCCTTAACGGAATGGATG